TTGTTCAGGGCTGACCCCACTCTCCAGGGGCTCTCCAGCACCCCCTCTGGGAAACGCCCCTTGGCATACCGCCTCCGAGCACAGTTACCTATGCCAGGTCACTTGAGGTCCGTCTCCTCAAAGCGCCCATTCTCAGTTTGGTCTCTGCAGACTTGGGTGATGGGAACGGGCAGCTCAGGCTCAGGAGGCAGCTGCAGGCTGGGCCAGGCTCCCCACGGGGCCAGGAAGAAGGGCAGCGGCCGTGCACCCTCTCACTGGCTCCCAAGAATGCTTGCCCACCCTTAGCGGGGTGCTTGAAGGTGACCTCTGGAGGAACTGCTGCTCTTTTGTTCATTTTTGAGACCTTATTTTCTACGCTAACATGTACAGGTCAATTCAGAGCCCAGGCTCAAAATGGCAGGCCACCTCCAGAATAGCTGTGGTGACACGGGAGGCCAGAAGAAAGGAGAGGAAAGGAAGGGAGAAAATCCTCTGGCCGCTTTCTTAGTAGGAAGAGTGAGGTGACCCAACTTGTTCACATGAGCCAGGCCTGGTGGGGACCAAGGACAGCTTCCTTTTTTAGTCGCTGCAGCTAGAGGTGGAAGACTGTGAGTGCCTGTAGGTCAATGAAGCACAAAGCAGAGGTAACAGTGAGCAAGACCTGGAGTCTGCAGAGCCCGTGGGAAATAGGTCAAGTCATGTGACAGGGCATCCCGTGCCCAGGCTCCTGCACCCGGGCCCTCTGCCTCAGTTTCTCGAGGGTCATCATAACGAAGCTCCCCAGCTTGGTGGCTTAGCAGAAATGTCCCCATGGCAGGTCTAGAGGACAGAGGCTGGAAATCAAGGTGTCTTCAGGGCTGTGCCCCCTCTGAAGCCTCGGGGGCTCCCTCCTGCCTCCTCCAGCTTCCACTGCTTTTGGACGGTCCTTGACCTTCCTCAACTACAGCCCCAAACCTCAGCCGCCCTCCATCCACAAGTGGCCTCTTGTGTTTCCTATCTAAGTTGTTGGGTCAGACCCTCGCCGATGCAGTAGGAGCTCCTCTTGACCGATTTGATCCACAAGGACCCTATGTCCATTCAAGGTCACCTTCCAAGGTCCAAGTGCTCATGAGCTTTGTGGTCCACCCATATGGTCATCATTCACGTTGATTTGTGTGTCAAACTTTGGGACAGTGCCAGGTACCATTCTCATGCTAACTCCTGGGGCAAGCCTACGAGGCAGACTGTCATTGTCCTCATGTTAGAGCTGCAGGGCTTAGGCACCAAGAGGGTCCCTGGCCCAGTGTCGCCCAGTGGCTGTGTCAGAGCAGGGACTCACAGCCAGAAAGTCCTAAGACAGGCGCCTAGTCTCACCTCCACCCTGCACTGGACCTGGGCTCTCCCACCCGGTTACCTATGGCTGTCACCAGCCTGTCACCAGCCCGCCCTGTGCCAGTGCATAGCAGCAGGGAAGACAACCTCCAGAGCCAGCTGGGTTTCTTTCTGTTTCTGGCAGCTCACCAAGGGACTTCCTTTATGTCTCATAAGCCAGAACCATGTCTCAGGCAGAGGCTGCTGAAAGTCATGTCTGGGCATCTTCCTGCCAAGGTGTCAGGCAGGAATTGAGCAGAATGGCCACTACCCAGCAGCTAGCCATCTCTGCACTACGTCAGTCACCTTCCGTCACTATAACAAAACACCCCAGGGCATCAACACGTGAAGAGGAAAGGTTCACTTTGCTTCCCAGGTTTGGAGGTTCCAGTCTACGAGGAGTTGACCCTGCTTCTCTGGGCCTGTGGGGAGGCAACACATCTTGGTGGATCACATGAAGGAGCAAAGCCTCTGCTCATCTCACAACCAGGAAGCAAAAAGAGGAAGAGGAAGGGGCCAGGGTTCCAAGACACATTCTTCCAGGACGTACCCCCAATGGCCTAAAGACTCCCTCCAGGCCCCGCCTCGTAAAGCCCACTACCTCCCAATAGCACCACCCTGAGGGCCAAGCCTTCAGCACCTGGGCCTTGGAGCACTGGACAGCCAAGCTGCAGAGCATGAACAGCAAGCTCTCCAGGACTGAAGACATTCCCTCCAATGTGCTTCTCTCTCTCCATGCTTTTTCTCTTCTCTTTTGTTTTTTTAAGGAAGAGATATTTTTTAACATTTCTTTTTTAATTTTAGGTGGACACAATATCTTTATTTTATTTCTATATGGTGCTGAGGATCAAACCCAGTGCCTCATGCATGCTAGGCGAGTGCTGTACCACCGAGCCACAACCTCAGCCCTCTGCTCTGTTTAAAATTAGTTTTAAGGGTGAACATGCATAAATGACAGTGCTGGTACTTGACGTGGAGAGCCAGGACACCAGACACACGCAAAACGGGCCGATGCTCTGACTCGGTTCCTCTCTGCCAGACAGCTGTGTGATGAGCTGCTCCACCCTGTGTGGAAGCAGAGTCTGCGGTGCCCTGGGCGCTCCCCACCCCCCATCAGGGCAGAGAGCTCCTCCCCATCCTGAGAGTCACCCTCCATCTGCGGAGTTATCTGAAATGGGAGCCGTGGGCTTCACCCTCACACAGCAGGCTGGGCATAGGCGGCCATCCCCTGAGCCGCTCCTGGAGTTGGTGAATCGATACCTCTGCTCCCCAGTAAACAGCCACAGTGGAAGTGCTTGCTCCTAGGAGAGTATTTTATAACATTTCCCTGCTGGGTAATTCTATTAGACCTCAGTGCATCGAAAGGTTCGTGCATTTATATACACAGAGAAAGTAACGTATTTCACGGTGTACATCACTCTCTACAGGACTGCAGGACTGAGCACCTGGCCAGTGGTAAATTGGCTGCCTCTGCTTCCTACATCCCCACCACCTGCTCCTGAAGTTCCCTGAACCCCTCAGATGAATTGCTCTGGGGCCTCTTCCTAGGATCTGTTTCCAGGGGACCACACTAGACATGGGCCATCGTTACCCCAGCAAAATTGGGAGAGGTGCTCTTTCTCTGAGATAGACAATGCTGTGTTAGACTCGAGAAAAGCGCACGGTGGCTTCTCTGAAGGGCCCAGACCCATCTCAGGGATGTGCCCCACCCCTCCTATGCTGTTCTACAGCCTCTCGGGAGCCCAGAGTCATGTTGTGGTGTTGCCAGAGACCCAGGAATGCCACAGGGCACACAGACAGCCCTGCAGTGACCCGGAGCATGGCAGCTTGCGGGCAGGATGGACCAAGTATGTGCTGCAGGGTCTGCGCTCCTATGTCCTGGGTTCAGGGTGAGCCCAGTGTTGGCAGGAACACAAAGTCAGCCTGGCCAGAGCCCCAGCCTCTTCCACTCTGTCCCCTTGGAGTGGAAAAAGTACAGGGGGCTTTCCTCTCCCAGAGGCAGCAGGAAGGAGCATTATATTTGGAGTTTGCCCATCATTTTTTACAGTTTTTACCCAAAATAAAATAAAATCACACTGGGAACTCAGGAGGGGAAACAGAAAGTGTGGCGTTGGACGGGGCCAGGGGGCTGGGGGCTAGGGGGCCAGGAGGCCAGGGGCCAGGGGGCCTGCGCATATTCAGCTGAGGCCGTCTCTGAAACTCAGGAGCGCTCCAGTTGGAGCCCAGTCTCTTACAGTTAAAATCAAGAGAAAACAGGTTTTTTCATAAGTTGAGCTCATCCTGTGAAGGAAGCATAAGCTCCCAATAAGAAACAGAAAGTTCAACCTGCAGGCTGCTCCCCACAGGCTCTCAGGTTCACAGGAGACGGGATGCCTGGGACTCTGCAGGCCCAGCCTCTGCAGCTCTGCCTAGAGCAGGGGCAGACTGACCAGATAGCCTTGAGGAAGGTCAGCCCTAACCCCTCGGGGCTCCCTGGCCAGCCCACACTACATGCTGACGTTCTGCCGCCACTGTACAAGGGCCAGGCAGGTGCAGAGTCACAAGAGAGCAGCTGTGTGTGTGTGTGTGTGTGTGTGTGTGTGTGTGTGTTGGTGGAGGCCAATTGGGGACACGGTTGGCCCGTGATGAGCTGGGACTGACATCAGGGGGCAGGGCTTGGAGGTGGTGGCAGCACAGAGATTTGGGGGACGGGACGTTGGGTTCTGGATCTGTATGTGAGAGAAGGTGGGAGTGTACTTCCTGGTCTTGGGGAAGGAGGTGGAGATGGACGCCCCAGGGCCTGGGGCATTCGCAGGCCACAGGCCACAAGGAGGGGAAGGCCGAGTGCTCGCCTTGGAGCCCTAGGAGAGCCCTGGGCACTCAGGCCCCCTGTGGGAGCAGAAACAGCTGCCCTGGGAGCCCAGCCTCCAGGAGAGACAAGGGGACCCAATGCCTTGGAGCTGGACAGCAGCGGGCAGGCTGCACCAGGGGGAGAGGTCGCGGTGTTCCAGCTCTGAAAGCAAGCAGCTGGGCAGCGGGCAGCCCTGAGCATGGCTCACCCTGAAAGGAGACCTCGGGGAAAAAACGCATGTCCACGTGAGGGTGTGTGTCCCTGTGGGGGTGTCCCTGCAGCCATGGCGGAGGCCAGGACCCCAAGTGTGGAGAACTGCAGAAAGTGAAGGAAGCCAGAGTGTCAGACTCTCTAGCCTGGCCTTGCCTCTGGCTGGTAGTGGAAAGCTCAAGTCAGAACCTCTGTGTTCAAGTTCAGACACATGTAATGGGCTCTCTAATGCGTCCACTCAGGAGCCCAAGTTCCTGGGTTCAAATTCCACCTTCATTATTCTCTAGCTGTGTGGTTTGGGCAAGTTACAAAACTTCTCTGTGCTAGTTATAAAACAGGATGTTGGGATAATTGCAGGGTGGGCCTTTGTAAAGCATGGAAACCTGGTGCATGGTGAGATTTGAGAAGTGTTTGCCCTGTTAACTTGACTGGCTCCACAACCCTCCCCTGCCATATCCTCCCTGCAGAAATCCAGGGGAGGACAGAAATGGTCCCTTGGCCACCTGGGCCCTGGGCTGGTGCCGCAACAGGAGTGCTGAACTTGGGTGGAGGGCTGGTCAGTGGCCGCGAGCGCAGGTGAGGGCTGGGCCACGCGGGAGCCAGGGTGATGGCTCTGTGTTTCCTCTTCCAGGAGGCGGAGATCCTCAACACAGCCATCCTCACTGGGAAGACGGTGGCCGTCCCCGTGAAGGTGGTCTCCGTGGAGGAGGACGGCACCGTGACGGGGCTGCTGGAGTCTGTGGAGTGCAGGTCGTCCGATGAAGACGTGCTCAAGGCGAGTTGGTCCCCTGTCCCAGCAGCTTGGCCCACCCACTGGGGCCTGACAGCGCTGGCCCTCCCATCACCTCTGAGAATCCTGCCCCTCACATTTGGGGATCCCCCCCGGCCCCACACAGAGCAGGATCAAGGCTGCCCTGGAGGTCACCTCTGGGACAGGCTCCCTCCTGACCCTTTCTGTTTTCCAAGTGCTTTGGGCCTCTTCCCAGCCCCTGGGGGTGTGGTGGTGGGATGCAGGTACCACTGCCCTCTTGGTGGCTGCATCAGGGCTGCAAGGGGCAGGAAGGAGGAGCCCAGGGGCTGGACTGATGGCCCGCAGCCCAGAATGATCTTACAGCCGAGCATTTGTGTGAAGTCAATGGAGATGTAAGTCCGCAATTTTCGCCCAGCTCTGGTTTGCCACACTGGCCAAGGGAGACGAGGAACTCCCTCTGTTCCCAGTTCCCTGCCCAACCCACAAGTATCTACCCGAGAGAGTGAGGGATGGGGAGGGACGGCCCTCACCTCTCCTTTAAATTCCATTGATCCCTTCCTTCCTCGCAGCCTCCTCTTTCTCTTTTTAAATTAAATGCACAAGTGATTCCAGACAAAGGCACGGGGAGATGGATGAGGCGGGGGACTCAGGCTGGCTCTGCCGGGAACCTTGTAGCAGGCTTCCAGGCAGCAGAGGAAAATGGATTTGTGGAGCTACCACTGCCCAGTCCAGAGCCCAGCTGGCTGACCAAAGCAGTAGCACCTCCTTGGAGTGAGCACCCCAAAGCACAGGGAGCCAGGCCCCCACCAGCAGCCCCACAGTAGGCAGCCCCGCTCCTCTGAACGAGAGGAACCTCACCTCTCTGCATGGCAGGGGGCGGCCAGGGAGGGAGCCCCTGTCCCCCTAGAAAGCAGTCGGCAAACGCAAGCTGAGTCCACACCAGGTGCTGGGCCCTGGCTAGATGTTAGGACCACAAAACCAGAGGCACAATCCTGTCATTACAAGCTCGGAAAGAAGTCAAGGGTATAGGAAAAAGCAAGACCATGGGAGGCCCTCCATGATCCACCCTCCCACCCACGTGTTCTGGAATCTTCTTCTCGTCCAGAAGTGGTAGCTCCTTCCAGATGCTCTGGCCAATATCCTGGTTCATCCTCGATTTCTCTCTCTTTCTCTCATGTCCAATCTCTCAGCAAGTCCTGTTGCTCATGCTTTAAAATACATCTAGGATCCAACCCTCCTTCCCCAGGCCTCCTTGCTGGCCTCCCAGGCCTTCCTTGCCCACCTGTGTCCTCTCCACAGCCACTGTGAACGCAGCAGCCAGGGTGCAAAGTGCAAATCCGTCACGACGCTCCTCAGCTCAGATCTCCTCCCCGCTTCCCTCCCACCTCCGCAGAGAAGCCCAGTGCCCACAGCCCAGGCCAAGCCCACGGGGCTGCACGCTGCCTGCTGCTGGGCCTCACTCCCACCTCGCCTCTCCTGTCTCTCTTTCCTGCTGTGCTGCCATCTTCACGTTGCTCCACGGGATGGGCACCCCTCCCTGTCTCTGCCTGGCCTCTCCCCGAGGTGTGTGGGCAACCTGCTCCCTCAGTGCCCCTCTCAGCTGGACCCTCCTGAGTGCCATGTGCACACCTCAGGGACGCTGCGTGCTGTGCCTCTGCCTACCCACTCAGATGCCTGTTTTTTTGCCTGTTTCTTCCCGGATGCTCATATGCATCTTTGCATTTGATCTATTCCTCGTCTGACTCTCCTTCCTGGACCTTCCGTCCACCCCGTGAGGTCAGGGTCTGTGGCTCAGGGCGCCCACTGCTCTAGAGAATGGACCTGTGGCTGCAGAGTGGGCAGGGCACCTGCTGGCCTGCGGGGTGCTCGTCTGCCTTCTGTGCGGGGGAGACCCAGGCAGCCAGGGGGGGCTAAGGGAGGAAGGGGAGCCGGGCTGCAGGAACCCCTTGGCCCCTGGCACTGTGATGCTCAGCAGCAGTGTTCTATTCAGACACCAGGATGATGCTCCTCTGGACTTGACGTCCTAACGCAGGAGCTGCGTTATGTGTGGCCGGAGTCAAAGTTTCAGTGGACAGGATAGCACATTTCTCCTCCCCCCGCCTGGCTCCTCCTCGCTCCTCTCCCCTGTGCCTGTCTGCCCGTTGCTGGACCTCCAGGGCGCTCTCAGAACGGCTAGTTGGGCACTTGACTCTGGGAGGCCAAGGGGCAGCCGTGGTCCTAAGGGCAGCGGTCACGCTCAGCACCTGCCTGCCAGTACTCACTCCCCAACAGGAAGGCCCAGGCCACTTGACCCCACAGCCACCCTGTCATCACCCTTACTTTCGGGGTGAGGAAGCTGAGTGTTGGCACGTCCGCAGGGACAGCGCTCTTCAGTCTCATCCCCAAGCCGGTCCCCTCTGCCTCCATCACTTACCCCTGGAACATGGTTGGCAAACTTGGCTGCCGTGGAACCCCAGGGCAGCCGTGTGGCTCTTGTGCAACAAGGGACAGCATTGACAACCAGGTGGAATTCAGAGCTCAGTGTGCATGCGTTTCCCCTGGACGGCAGCCTGGCCGATTCATGGGCAGGTTGTCAGAGCCACAGTCAAGACTGTGCAGAGCTGAGAAGTAGGAGGGAGGTAAGATGGCCTCGAAGGGAAAGGGCCACCTGTTCTTAATGCAGGAGGTTATCCAGAGCCCCCACTGGTGGACTCTGAGGGGCCGATCCCCCCTGGGGGGACGTCTGCTGGGGGACCCCGCTGTTCCTGCAGATGCCTGCAGACTCTCAGTCCTGGGACTAAGCACCCTCCCTCATCACTGTGCTTGTTGAAGGAGCACGTGAGCTGTCTGTCCACTCCTGCGGATGTGTGTCGGAACACAGTGCTTAGACTGTTCTCCTGGATGTCGAAATCAAGACAAGTGGGGATTTCAGCTCCTGAGAAAGTGGAGAGATCTGGAAAATGGGACAAAACAGGTCAGAGAGGGACCGGCCTTGCCCTGTGTCCTGGACTGGCCGAGAACTGAATCCACTTCACCTGGCCCCATGCCCTGGGCAGCAGAGAGCATATTCCTATGGCACTCAGAGGCAGGTGTGACAGGCTTCAACACCACCAGCCATGAATGTCCCATGTGAAACCTCTGTCCTCTAAGACCTAGAAAGAAAGAAGCCCCACGGGTCCCAGGCCCACCCCTCGTCTAGAATTTACACAAAGAATCCCAGAGAACATGCAGACCGGGCACCACAAGCTCAGAAGATAAAGCCAGAGTCCATTTAAAGGAGTAAAGACCACAGGATGCAGGGTAGCCACAAGCCTCCAGCCCCACCCACCCGAAGGTGCAGGCTGCTGTCCCCAGGGGGAGGGCAGATGGGAAGAGTCGGGCCGGGGAGTGCAGCTCCGAGGTGCACTGCCCAGGGGGAGCCCTGTCTGATGGACAGCAGCTCTGACTCCTCGCATTGTAAACGGACACAGAGGCTATGACAGTTCTGCCTCTGCACGGTGTGGGGAACATCTCTGAGAGTCACTGTGGCCACGTGGACGTTCACTCCTGAATAGGAATCTGCTGTGGGCCAGCTCCTCACTCCAAGGGCACCATCACCAATCCCTCCTGGATTGTGCCTGTTTAGACCCCCATAAGGCTTCTTGAGCCTAGGCAGTGACGTTGCTTAGGACCTCGCCCACCCCCAAATCCATTCTCAGTCCAGGAGTCACAGAGGTGCTTTGAAAACGAGGGCCACGAGGCGCCCGTCACACACCAAGGTCTTCCTGTCTCCCTGCCTCCCTCAGAGGCCTCTAAGGCACATCCATCTCCCTCTCGCTTCCCGCCCCCACCGCCCTGCCCAGGTCCCCAGCCCCTCCTGCTCCAGGCCCTCCCTGCACCTCCTCTCTCCCATGGCCCTGTTGAGCTCTCTGCCTTGCTGCCTCCAGCCCGTGGCTCAGCTCCCCACAGCAAGACCACGGCTCCTCCTTGCTTTGTGCTTCTTCCTAGAACTGCCACAGAAACCTCAGGCCACTCTGGGCTGTGTGTGCCCATTGTCTGCCGGGTGAGGATGCCTGGTGTGTGACCCATCCCCCCGGGCCGCTCCCCAGTGGCCTTTTGGAGGCATTTCTGGGGAAAGTGTCCGGCGAAGAGGCTCCAGGAAAGGAGGGTGGAGGGGGCCATGTCACAGGCTGTCACAGAGGACTAGAAGGGGGACACATATCTAACACGCAAGACACACAAAGGGCTCAGAGCCACGTGTTCCTCAGGCGGGGAAGGGACGCTGGGCCCTGAGGCAGGGATTTCCCAGGGCCTCATGTGCAAAGGAGGGACAAGTCCAGGATGGGCCAAGGATGACCTGCAGAGTTTCAAGAGCTGAACTGGTGGGCAACATTAGTCCCACTCAGGAGAGTAAGAGCAGGTGAGCCTGTAGATGGTGTCCTGCACCGACATGGGCAGGTCAAGACAAGGACAGGAAGGAAGGACCAGCCCACACTCTCTCCCCATGGTGGCCGTCTTCTCCCTAGACAGAGAAACACAGGACAGCAGTTAGGATCCTTGGGCAGCTCCAGTGGGGACAAGAGGCTCCGCAGCAGGGGCTCCTGGGAGCGGCAGGGGGCAGGTAGCCAGCGGAGCAGAGAGCCACTGTGCATCTCCACTTCCAGGGCCCGAGGCTGCAGGGCACAGAGTCAGGCTGTAATGCCCAGTGGCTGCAGGGTCGAGAGCTTCTGTTCCAGGGAACTTCACCGCGATCTCAATGCTGCAGGATCTGGCCTTTCCTAGGACTCCAGATCCTAGATGAGGCCTGACTTCCCCACGTCAGAGTGGCCAGTCCTCAGTCGGCCTGTGTGGACATGACACAGACCTGGAGGGACTCAGGAGCCGGTGGGCCTTATTCCTCTCCATTGCTAGAATGAACCAGAGGCCTGGGACATGTAGTTCCTTGAGAAATAAACAATTTTTGGAAAAATGAATGATGAACTAAATCCAGGTTTATGTCAAGAGTTGGTGAACATCTACTGTTTTAAAAGTGTCAGACCCTCCGTTTCCTCTCCGTGGTGCTCCTG